TTAAAGCCTGTAACAACACAGGACTTTTCAGTGGCAAAACTTGAAGCAAAAGCTCGTTTTATATGATTCTAGTAAATCCATTTTTACACACAGCACTGTCTGCTGGAACTTACTGACCTCTGTAATATCCACTTACAAGGGAGAGTGAAGCCCAGTGCACACTGTTGTACAGGATATTCTCCACCAGCACACAAACTCAACCCACACTCTGAAAGCTCAGCAGAACATGGATTAGGAGAACACAATTTTCATTGAAAGGGGTGTGGCATTGCATAAATGGCTTTGTAGAAATCTTCAGCTCATGCAATGCTCCATTTAAAACATGTAATCCATTAAGTAAATCTGCTAACAGATCCAATCCAAACATGATCTGAAAGACAACTAACATACTAAACATTTAAGACTAAGTTTTTGCATTGACACAAAAACATTCTCTCAGAGACTCTGGAAATTGAAATAAACATATGAATGTGCATATTTGGGGTTTAAATGAGTAGCAAAGAAATGATGCTACAAAGTTCTATATATTCTCCATGTTCTAGAAGGATCACAAACGAGAAAGAAGTTTGCTCCAAATAACGTGCTTTTCCTCAACAAGGGCGGGGGGGAGGGATTGGGAAAAAACAGAAGTTTAGGTCTCTTCAATACTGGTAAATACATTATACTATAGACCAAATTATACCAATGTACTCAATATACTACAGCATTTCAGCGAAGCCTGTGAATATCACACACTTACAACAGTTGCTCTATCTTTTTGATAACTCTATTACTTGAGTTCAGAGAAGGTTTATAGACTAGAAAGCCTCAGATATGGTCATGAATGTTTGATGCCTTCACACACACACTGTTACTGCTGTAACGTCACTCCCTGCTGAAATTACTACATACGGACAGCCTGTGGTCATTACAGGCCAACGGGAGCAGTTTGAGTATTAAAATGACGTACCTCCTACACTGCTGGATTATTTTCCACACTGGAATTGGTACTAACTCATTCAGCATGTTTCTCAGAGGAAAAGGTATGGTCCTTGAAATTGCAAAAGAAACTACTAGCTATCAGTGTTTGTACAATGCCCAAAATCAAGCCTGTTAATGTGAGGTACCTTCGGCTTTTTTGCAATCTATTTAGAAAGACTGAGAAATGGCCAAATTCCAAAACACACAGGATTACTGTAGTAGGGCAAGAAATTCGACATATATGTCTTGTCATATTGAGTAATTCAGCAGTCCAGTGGGTTATACTTGTTACAGTACTTCTGTAATGCTCAAGAGCAAACTAATCGTCACTATCAAAGCACTGAGGAATGCTCTACCCCTCAACCTCTCACACAGTGGGGAAACACCCCAGACGTCAAAAACTATTCAAAACTATTTGCCTCCCTTTTTCTTTCTCCTACCAAATTTCATTCCCTCATTCACATTTCCAAGCCCTACTCCTTCCACTTCCACAGGTGAACAAGCCAGGAGACAGAGAAACAAATTCCCAAATTGTAACTTCCAAAACAATATGCTGTGAGAACAACAAAGGAATGAACAGAAACAGTTATCCAAATTCTAGTTGCAGTGGGGAACAAAAAAAAAAGAGTGCTCCCAGAGGAATTAAATTCAGGGCCTTTTTACAACAGCTTTATCTCCCTCTCTGCATCTGCCAGCTCACACACTGCTTGTGCATCCTGCAGAGCAGTTGCTCTCAGCCCTAACAAGTGCTGACAGGGCCCAGCCCAATTACAACCAAGCAACCCACAGGATATTTTTTTATTGCAACATTACCTTTAAAATGCTTCAGTCACTTTTTTGTCACGGCAACAGCAGTAGAGGCTTTTCTTTCCTGCCCCCCCCCCCCCCCTTAGTTGCGTTCTAAATTCTCTGCTCATTCTGCTATTTGAACAAGAGGAATATTGATTTGCTGCCCTACTGGCACTTCAGAAAGGCCTCGGCTCCCTTCTTGTCCCAGTTTCAGCCAGATCCCAGCAGATTTTCCACCCCATCCAATAAAGGAACTGAAGAGCGATTGCACAGGGAACCAGCCAACACATTGGTGCAGACACAACCAATGTTCTTCCCATTGTCCATCATCTCTCCTTACATTCACCGGAACAGGAGAGGGGACCAGGAAGACCAGCAGCAGCCATACCCCCACATCCTCAGCCACTTAAGCCCTAACATCAGGGAATAGGTGAATCCCAAATCTCTAATGTGGGCATCCCTCAAGGAGGATTTTCCTTTTATGATCTTAGAATTACATCACACTGCACGGCTTCAGGGTAACTCTTCTTAAAATTCCTTCATTTTATCTTTATCCTGGGAGATAAAAAGTTACCCCAGCACTTCATCTATGGAGCTCACCTTCTTCAATCTTAATACCAGACTGCAAAGATATCAGAACCCACTTACACAGAGGTCCAGAAAACACTGCTTGCACTTTACTTTTAGTCAGGTCATGTTTTTTAATCTTGAGTGGTACTGAAATAACTTAATCAGATTAAAACAAACCAACCTGGATTACCTGACTGCACAGGGCTGGATCCAGCCTCACAGGCTGACACTGCCCACATCCAGCACAAGCTATTGGGAAAGACACCTGAAACAAAACCACCCCTGAAACTGACACCTTCAACAGCCCCTAGAAACACAAACTTCCATGAAATAAGACTGGATTTGTGGGGTGCTGCTGATGCAAAGGATTAACCAATGTACAGGGGGGTTAGGGTTAAACCACCTGCTTAACAATGTTACTGCTTACTCAACAAATGCGTGCTCAATGCTTACCGGAATAGGGTGGGAGGACCAAGGCTACTGATAAGAGGAAGGAACAGTAACTCCTGTTCTTTGGACCCCTAAATCGGCTGAAATCAGCTTTGCGGTTTGGACAGTGACTAAATCACCAGGGAACATGGCAACAACTGGAGATGAAAAGTTCAGGGAAGACTCGTTTACTTCATCTTGAGACCCTTGCTCAGACCATCAGGAGACGCAACACAAGCAAGGACCTTCTACCTCATTATCATATGAAGCGGGGATAGGTCATGACTAAGTATAGGCGTACTGTGTAATCTCATGAATATGTAATAATTTAGAGGATAAATCTGAAGGAGGTACACATGCCTTTGGAGGAGCAATCCCCCATGTGCTGAATAAAGCTTAGTAAATACTTTACAACTTTAAGGAGTTGTGGAGCCTACCCCCGTATCACTGCAGCAAGCAAACGGACTTGGCTGGGTCACCATTAGTGAAAGGGTCTCTGTAAGATACACATACACAGGGAGCAGATGGACACGGATGCACCCAGGGCTGGACCTGCCAGAGGTCATGTTGGCTTTAAAACCTCCTCCTCATGTAACTCTGATGTAATTTCATGCAGTGAATTAACAACACAACCCCTCAACACAGTCTCTGAACTGGAAAGTCCAGCGCCACAGCTCTAAGATATGTAACAAGCTGGAATAAGGAATGCTTTGCTACATGTTAGATGACTAGCTAGATGGATTGCTAGACAAAATTACAGATTAAATGGAAGTTACTTGAGAAACATAGGTTTTCAGTCATGGAACAAATTCACAAAAGAGAAAACGACAATGGCATCATTATGATTACACTCAACAATACATGTTCTCCCTGGCCAAATTCAACAGCAGCTATGCTCTACCTCACTTTCTCTTAGCTTTAGCTGGAAATTTACTGCCGCTAATGAGTTAAGATGGAATGATTTTGTTGTATATACATATATATTGCCTATATGGCTTTTGCATCTGCCACATGTCTTCTTTCCCACAGTCACATCCTCTTGGACACGGAAGACCACAGGACAAAGGCTGAGACCTTTCTGACTCATCTCAAAGCAGAATGTCTCATCTCTGGAAGAAAACTTTCCCACCCTTTGCTTGTGAGAGATGCCATACAATACAGAGCACAAGGAATTACTCTCATCTCTCCTAAAGCTTCCATGATGAAGATTACTATGGTACCTCTCGATTAGAAGTCACTCTGGGTGACTTCTGAACTCAAAATCTCGACCCTTTCCCTGCCAAATTCCCACCTCATAAAATTTAAGCCTCAATTAATGCAATTGCTTCTTCTAAACAAGTACTGCTCCCCCGAACTGATCTTCCCATAAAGCTCATTTTATTTACTCTTTTAACATAACAATTATTTTCTCTTCCATAGGGATTCACCACACTTTATAGTCATCCGAGTCACATTATCCCACTTAATGGCTCCTGCTCTTTTCAAATCACCGAGGTCAAAGCCCAAACACACTTTGACTAATTCTGTGACCAGTAAGCACGTTTGGTTTGGGCTCTCCCCTCATGCATTCTATTACAGAACTGAAAATAGGGCTCTTAAGGCAAAGTTCCCTTTTTCTTCCTCACCAACAGGCTTGGATTCGAAAAGAGACCACCAATTTAAAACAAAAAGAAGTATATTTGCATATTGAAGACTTCCACACGCCTCCCAAAAACCCCACAAACCGACCCTGGACCATAAAAGACGGTATATTACATTATAAACATAAATAGAGACGCGTATATGTCATTACACCATTACTTGCCGGTGTCCCCCCTCAGCTCCGCGACTTTCCAGAGCCTTCGGCCGGCCCCCTCAGCCCCTAACGGCCATTAACGGCCATTAACGGCCACTAACGGCCACTAACGGCCCTCAGCGGCTCGCGAGCGTCAGCACCCGCGGCAAGGAACGCGGCCGGCGGCATTTTAAAGTCAGAATACATTCAATCAGCTTCTTTGAGGCTTTATTTTTTTCTCTCCCCCTCATCTCTGCGGGACCAGCAGTAAGGGGGACCCGAGCCCCGCGGGGGTTCGCCGCCTCAGGAACAGCTTCGTGGCTGAGGGAGGACACTCCTCAACCAGGGTCGGCGGCCATCATGGCTCCGTAAGGAACCGCCACCACACTACGTGGCCCAAAAGCAGTCCAGACGGAGCTCAAAAGCAACAGCAGAAGGAAGGCAAAATAAGGATTTGTACCCACCCCTCCCGTCTCACCTCCTTTCCGCCGCACGCGGCCACGGCACCAAGCCCAAACTGCATGGATCCTTTGGAATGAGCAGTGGTTTCCATCATGGAGCCTTCTCCCCACACCGAGTCGTGTGCCTGGAGTACGGGAGAGAATGGTACCGCCCTCACTGCCACAGGTGAGCCCTTTAATGAGTGCTAATGAGCCAGTGATGAGCACAGAGGGGGCCTCATCACCTCGTACCCATCGCAGGTGCTTATTGTTGCCATCCCTATGGCTTGTTACGAACTGGCACGGACAGTGGCGGCCTGTAAATGTCCACAAACCCTTCCTCTATCAGACTAACCCCTTTTGTAAGACCCATTTTATCTTCTATAAGGGCAGAAATCCGAGTGCTCCTGGAGTAATGCCCTTTTTTAAATACGAGGTGGTGCAGAATAGAGCACCATATTCCACGTGGTGCCTAATATGGAGTCTATTATAAAAAAAAATGCAAAAAAACCCACCCTAAATAAAAACACAACCACCCAACTATCAGCTCCCTGTATGCCATCTGTTCAGGGCTGTGCTTATTCCATAGGGGGTTGCAGAATTGTATGTACAAACTCTGTGATTCTCTTATTAAGACACTTTGATGTAAGGATTTTAGTGCATCTGCTGTGTGCAGAGCTTTAAGAGTTAAATTAATCTGGTATACATTTTAAGTAACAGCAGTTTAGCACCTTACTGTGCTATTGATCCTATTTTCTTCAAGGAAGTTCCATAAATGGTGGGGTTTTTTAGCACTGTGGGAGTCTTTTATTACTGCTGTAATGCAAATCAAGCAGTTATGATCACCACAGACTGATTTTGCTCTTTAGAGATTGAAGCCCCAGGGACAGAATTATCTTCTGATGAATTCGACCAAATGGATTTTGAGGACTTTGATGATGTTGCTTGTGGGTGTATGTGTGTGCATGTGCCACTTTTCTCCGTCAGAATTTACATTAAGACAAATGAAGAATGAAAACAGGATTGTGGATATAGTTGTGTCAGTATAAACATACTTTACAATTAGATAGCTATTACCATAGAGTAAGGGAAGAACTAAACCAGTATAAATCACTTTTATACTAACTTGATTGCATCCACCAAGGACTTCATAGTAGCATAACTCTTCTATAAAAAAAACCCAAACCCGTTACCAACATTATTATTCCAGTAAAATGTAAATGCAGACTAGGCCTTAGATACCAATTAAACTGCAGTTGACAGAAATGTTATTGTTTAAATAGAATAAATGTAACAGAACAAAGAGAAAGATAAATAATGAAGAAATAATAGAAACAGATACCTGTGATATTGTTGAATTGTCCAAGGAGAAGATTTGAAGGGAAATTATTTTATAAGTCATTTAAGGAACTTCTTTGTTAAGAGGATGCTAGTAGTTTGGAATCTTAAATGTAAAGCAACTGAAATGGATTCTTACAGTCTTTTGTTTGTATATGTATATGTGTGTATATATATATATCTGTCTTTGTGAGTCACTCTGAAAATGGACCTCTAGAGCCAGATTCGTCACTCGCCCACCAACCAAGTTTACTTCAGTGAATTACAGTTATTTCAAAAACTTCATGTAATTCCATTTCCGTTAGAACATGTGGCTACTCAGAACACCGAGTGATCTCTGGGAAGAAATCCATAATGAATTGAAATCTGTCACTGATATTTTACGTGAAAGAGCTTATTGTCCTTGCACGGTCCTCTAACAATTCCTGTGTTGCGGAGTATTTAAGGCAGAAGGACTCTGTATGCAGAGTCCATTAATTTCTTACTGTGCTCACCTTCAGGTTTCCCCACAAAACCTGATACATTGGTTCATGCTTTTTTTCCCCATTTTCTCTTTCTTTCTGGTGGAACCACTGGACTTCTTCACAGCAAATAAGGGCAAGAAAAGGAGAGGGAAAGGGAGGAAAGGGAAGAGCATTAGAAGAAGCATGGAGAAGAACGTCAGTAAGATTTATGGGTCATATATTGCCACAGAAAGGCTGTAGGTGGTAGGGAGCATGCTGTTTTGGCAGTAATTTATAGTTCCTTGCTATGACAGACTCCTAGACCGAAGATGAAAAAGGTGCTATTAAAGCAAAAACAGGCTATCTAGACTGTTGTAAACAAGGATCTTTTTATCACAGCTGCTACAACCCATTGGTTGATCATTCACTGGGAAATTAGCAAAGGTGTAACCTTTTCCAGGTTCAGTCTGGGACCCTTAGAGTCAGAATTCATCTGATTTTCTGCACCCCTTTACTGGTATGGCTAAAGTGATGGAGCAGAATAAAGGTGGTTTTGCTGCTTTGCTATTCCTCTGCAACTGGAATAAAAATAGACTGGTACAAATTACCTTTTAGTCTTCCATAACTAGGAAGATACAGATTTAATATTTTAGTTGAAAACAAACCCAAACATCTTTGGTTAAAAGAGCCGTACCAACACACTTTTTAAGGACTGAGCTCTGAATTTTGCTGGGACTTACAGGTTATGAAATTCCAATGGGCATTCCCAGGATTTTGATGTTAAATTTAGTTTCCAAGTTGCTAAAATCTTGCTTTGTTATTCAGAGAGCTGTCTCTAGTTCTAGGCTAAGCAGTTGTTTCTTGAAACATATCATAAACTAGAAAGAAGTTTAGGTCTTCATAAGTGAATCATGAAAATAAGACTATTTCTTTTCCATGCTTTACATCTCAAGTAGGGTGCTCTAGAACTGTTTGGTGTCCTGAACTTCACAGTAATGACTTTCCAAGATGCCAGTCGCAGAGCAGCAGTTAGGTCTCCCAAAGCCCCAGTCTGCAGTGCAGAACTCTTACCTATTGAGTTCTGCATACATCCTTGCATCTTTTTCACCACTGTTTGAAATGTACAGGCAATATCTTCCTAGATATATTTGGAGCTTGGCCCTCCCAAATTTATTCCAGAAGTAGCACTTAAGCAGCTGCGCCTGTTGTTTGGTAGCAGGTAAGCAGGGGATTTCCTTTTCAGGGAGTGTCAATCTAACACCTTTCTGCCAGCATTATGTTCACTTAAAGTACAAAGCTCTGACAAACTCTTTAACAATGGAAGCACTTGCAGGCAACTCTACTATTAAGTGAAAACCGTTGGCATGTCTCTACTGTTAATTATTATTACTACTATTAAATATTCAGTGCAGGGAACACATTTACAGTAGTGCTCTGTACTCTGCATCAGTCTGCAGTTAAATTCCAAGAATAAGCACTACTACAGTGAAGATAAACTGTGTACACCCCCAATCTTTGCATCAATCCCTTCATGGCCTACCACAAAATGACACTCTAAGGTGTTCAAATACTGCTATCTTCAAAGCACATTAGCATCTCAAAGCCAGGTTTATGTCTCTGATATCAGCTCTTCCAATTTCATCAACTCTAATGGAACACTTACGTAAATGTTCAGCCAAAGAGTGCGCCTGAATTTATGACCTGCCCCAGACTCTATGATTCATAGCATACTGCCCCCATTTTGGCTAAATGAGTTTTCAGGTTTGGGGTGTCTGTTCTGAATTTATTTTTCTTGATAAAATAAGATTGCTAAGAGAATGTCTGCAGTTTGTAAAATGCAGTCACAGCCATGCTGTCATCTTAACTTGCAAGTTCTTGCAAATAGTGTAAGTAACATCTCTCTGCATTGGAATGTGACGTCCCCATCTCCGAAACAAGTATCTCAACTGGGACTTGAAAAACACTAGCTGTAAGCTAGAAAGTAAAGCATATTTGGAAATGTAGTACTGTGCTTCTCCTTCCGTACTGCGTTTCATTTTCTGACAGCCAGAGCTGAGGCACAGCAGATGCCAGCTTGTCCTAAGTCCCCTGCACAGACTTGTGCTCCATGGCTGAGACATGCTGTGTGCCAAATTAAAACACAGCATCCTCAAAATTAAACTTTGACAGCTGTGAATGGGGGTCTGTTTCAGTCTTTGGTCCTCTGGATATCCACACTTAGATGTGCTTTGGATCAGACTTTCCTTGGTAATCTGTGTTTCCCTCCTATTTCCCAAGCACCTTATTTGAAAAGCCCTCCCTGGATTCCACTGAAGAAGGATTAGAAAGCCTGATAAGGCACAGCATCTAAAATAACACAATCTGCAGAGAGATTAGGAATCAAAGAAATTAAATTGTTAGTAATCTCAAAATCTTACTTTCTTTCCTGTGGCCCATAAGAATTTTATAAATAAAAGTCTCATATGAAAAGTCAAGGTTGTGTGTGTTTTCCTATAGCAGCACAGCAGTATATTAGGGCGTGGGGTGCTGTATTTCAGCTACCCCCGTTCAAATTGGCAAAACTTGTCTGACTAAACTTGGCTCTTCTCTTGATGCCTGTGTAAATCACATGAAACTGTACCCATTTGCCTTTATATGTCAGGGACAAAGCAGGAAGGTATAGTAACTGACTGACACATAAGAAGTGACTCCCCTTATTTCAGTATTTAAGGTTAAAAGGTTAACCAGTGGTCTAGCTATGCAACCTACAAAAAGCCTTCCTCTCTGACTGATAAATGGGTTTGCTGGTTGGAAACACACACCTCTCTACAGCAGGCTGATGAGCCAGGCTGGCCTATTCAGCTAGACTTGTGACTGCAGTTTGAATGCTACACCTACTTAGATTTTTATTTCCTGGTGGGTAATCCTCATTCAAAATGCGGAAGAGTCTGAGGAGTTGCTTCAAGAGCAGTTACCTGGACATAGATCATTTAAATGTTGGTATGTGAAGTTGTTTCTTTAGCTCTTTGGAATAAAGTCTAGCTAGTACCCTGCTCCATGCCACCCTGCAGAATAGGCACCTCACAAGCACCCCAAGACCATTCTCTGGTGCTGTGTCGATAACCCAGAATTCACAAGGCTTTAATAAAAGAAACTGAAAGGGAGGAGCACAGAGGTGATGAATGGATACCTCAAGGGATCCAACTGACAGCGGAAGTGCCACATTTCTAGGAACAGCAAATATATATTCCAGCCACACATGGGAGTAACAAGTTTTCACAAGTATTGTATAAGAAAAGGAAGAAGCCAATCTTGTACCTCTTGAAATTAAGATTAAAGACAGTCTGAATGAAGCAGCTTGTGGGAGCCTACATGGAACAGTGCTATGAAAAAAAAAGTATCCAGAAGCAGGCAAATGATCTATTTATTAACATGCATGTTGGCACTAGCTGAAGTGCTATATTGTGAATATTCTGTAATTTGTAATAACTGGAAAAGAAAAAACCTCAGAAGCCAACTCTCAGCTCTGCTGTTTCTATGCCCTTATATATAATGCTATAGAAATTTGGTCCCTTTTTTATTTATAACAAGCATTAAGTGAAGTGCCTTGAATAAAAAGTGAGGGAATAATAGGAGAACCATTGCCATCATAAAAAATTAAAAGGGAAAGAGCTCAGAATAGATGAGCAAGCAGTTTTTTAAATAGAAGAAGGACCAGAGGTACCTTTTTGGGGAATATCTGTTGAGCTGCTCTTTACAGTGAGTTAGTGGTGCAAGTCTGTCACCCCTTGGTGAAAAAGAAAACTTGATAAATCTTCTTTTAACAGCATATTTGCCTTTCTATTACATTATATGCCCACATTCACCCACACAAACTGACTAAAAGCTTCCTCAGGTAGATTTCCCTTTTTTTTCCCTCTTGTTCCCTGTTTGACTGCGGTGTGATATATTTAACTTACGCTAATTTCCAAACTGCCATAGGTAGAAAGAAGATAGGTCTTTGACAATAACATGCAGTCTCCAGCAACCCCAGAAAATACATTGAAAACCCAAAGCCAAGAACCTTTCAAATGACTAGGAGCAGAGTAGCTGAGAACATATATTCTGATCTCAAATACCTCTTCAGGAAAAAAATCTTTGAGGAAAAGAAAATGCTGAACTGTAAATACAGCTTCTGCAAACAACTGCTGCTATCAGACAAATGTGCTTCAGCATAGAATGATTAAAATCTACAATTATTGTTTAACTAAAGTTATTACTTCATTAACTTGGAAAATAAAGGGCCTGCCATGTAAGAAAGAGTCACTACTTACTAAAGGTGTTTCTTTCTAATCCTTCTGTACATTAACTGAAAATTTTGATGCATTTTGCTTTTTAAAAGGTTTAATTTTGTAGAGCCTGGTGCTTTATAAACAAATGAGAGAAGAAAGAAGGAAAACCTATTAAGCAAAAAAAGTAACCCCAGCAACACTATCTCTCAGGCTCTAAGTAAAGCAGGGCTCTCCCCTACTGGCTTATTTGACCTGGGCCTCCACCCACAGGCCCCTCCCTGCTGGCTCAGGAGCACCATATAAGCTCAGTCCTGCAGCCAACTCAGTTTTGTAGCCTTATTTCTTGCATAGGTTGTGCTGTATGGGGGAAAATCATTAGTCCTGTTTTTGAGTTGTTGCTTTGGGTTCATGCTTGCTGGGCTGTGGCTGGATTTTCTCAAGTATTATGGGTCTATATTCTGCTGAGGTTCTTATTTTTGTGTGTGTTGTGGTTAATTATTTTTTATTTATTGCTTGATACTGCTCCTGTAGTTCCATGGGATTCTGAAAGACAGTGGAGACTTTCTGTAGTGAAAATTGCTCTATTTGAGGTGGAGAACTGTGTTGCTAACCCATATAAGTTAACTTGTAAAAACTTTCCAGATGATCTGTCCTTCCCTTTGTCTTTTTTTTTTCTCTTAGTGCCAGTCCATAAAATAACTGGAGCAATGAGTTTCATTTGGCCAAGATTTTATGTTCTGCCATATTGTTAATTTTGCTCTGTTGCCTAATTAATTAAACCAAATATTGTATCCCTTTGTTGTTATTTATTTTAGGGCTTGGATTCTGTTTGAAATCAGAGCTAAAATACGTAGATTCTATTTTCAGCTCCATTATTTAGGTTTCTTGAATTCTGGAGAGCTGTTTTTTCTGTATGCTTCTTTTTCCCCCTCATCTGTCCAGTTGCTGAATATAATGAATGCTTAAGAGAAGGGAAGCTTCCCCTGCCCTGTATAGCACTTGATGTATTAGCTGCTTGAGCATTCTTAATGCATTTTCTGTGGAGGCCTTGCTACAGCTTGAAAGTAAGAAGGCTCAAATAATTAAAATAAGGTATTACAACAGTAGTGAGACTTGAGGTTTTGTGGTAGAAAGTTAGTATGAGACTTGACTATGCTCATGAGATCTCCTAATCGCTTTCCCAGATTCTGGGGTGGGGTAAAATGGTATATTCATATTCAGGCACTCACTCAAGCTTTACATTTGTCTTTCAATAAAGGCTGAATTTCAGAGCCTTCCACAACATGCAATTACAGAAAAACAGAACTGAGAGGAATCTCTTGAGGTCAGCTGTTCAAAGGCAGTATCAGTAAGACTTAACACTCCTCACATGTTTTTCTAATCTCTCCTTAAAAATCTCCAGTGGATAGAGATCTAACAGATTAAGTATTACTCCCTGGACATTGTATTCTGCTTTTTTATTAGGAAATGATTCCTGAAATTTTTATCTTTGCAAGTTTTAGCCTCTTCTGTAATTAATATTTCACTGTTGGCTTCTCAGTGTTTGGCAAGAAAGGGACTGGAATGGTTGTCTCTGCCTCATGACTTCTCTAATAACTAGGAGAGTGACTCATGCGCATATTTGTGTGTTTTGTTAGATATGTTCTTCTGCAGTAAACTAGAGCTTTAATAGTAATGATGCCTGAAGTTGAAAAAGTAGCTTTTTAAGCTCCTCCATAAAGAAGGAATGGGCCCCTATAATGCCTGTAGTTGATAGATTGCTTTGTGAGGTGGGATGGATGTGTGCTGGACTACTGGCCTTCAACACAGTTGCCTTCTGACTGAGGCAGTACTTTGATGGCTTCCTAAACAAACTATGCATCTGTTTGCATACATGAGTCATCTTGCTCTCTCCAGTAGTTCTTACACTGCACTACTGCTCTGTAGCAGAAGGTCCATGGAGGCAGAGGAAGAGCTGCTTTCCCAGTTAATGTGAGCAGTTCATTATTTGCCCCTGCTTTCCTTTCTTCCCTGATGGCTTTTCTGGTTGTAGTTTTTCTCTAGTCCATTACTACCTAAGAAGACCCCGTGACTTCATCACACACAGTTTTTTTTTCCTCTGTGGACTTTAACAAATAAGTCTTCATCATGTTTTTGTTGCTTCCTCTTAGATAACAAAGTGCAAGTCCCTAGTTGTTGTAATTATTAGTATATTCCTGAAGAAAATTGCAACAGTCTACATTAAAGGGCTCTCTGCAGAAATTTACACAGTAGGTAACCAATTTCTCTTTAAATAAAAGGCACTTGGAACAGTCAGGAACATAAAATGAGAGAAGGGAGAGGGAACAAACAGGATTTTGAGGAGCAGCAGGATGATTTGCAGTGGTCAGGAATATAGTCATGTTGAATTATTTGGGTAATTAATCCTCATCAGCAAATTCTGATACAGTGCCAAGGTTATATAGCACGCTGGAGGGAGAGTTGGAGTAACACTAGTCTTGGGTTTGACTGTTCTGCCAGCAGGTTAAGAAAAGGTGATTTATAATCTACTCCCATTACTACTGCTGTTTTATGTGGCTGTATCAGGTAGAACAAACATCTCCTATTCTGCTAGCCTTCCTTTCATAAGGGTGTCTAGAGTAGCTTCAAAAGATAATGGTGATGACTGGTTAGACCCTGACCTCTTTCTGAGCCCTGATAGACAAAAAGCTTCATTATGTAATAGATACACTTCTGAATTTTGAGGGGGAAGGATTTAGTAGGCAATTTGTAGAACTGTCTGTTACTGTGCATGCATGTTATCTGTCCATGTGACGTATTTATAGTGCACTAGTATTAGGGTACTGCAATATCAAGCCCTTGTTTCACAGGGAAGTGCAGTCTGTTGTGTGTTCCCAGCAGAGGGCTGTTACTTATCTGATTTGCATCACAGTATTAACTGGCGGATACCCTAACAAAGACGGGAGTGAGGTGTATTAGAGATAAGGTACAAGAAACTATGTAGACAGTCTTAGAGGACGATACTTGAGAATAAGCTTCTGACTTCATAACCGTGAGTTAGTGATCATGAATGTGAAATTTATTACAGTCTATACAAGAGTCTTGTGTTTAATCGTTTGTTATATCTGAATGCTTTTAGTGGGACTGCTTTCACAGCCCCAGCAGGGAGATCACTTTCAAGATGAAGGTAGGCTGATGTGGTTTACTGTGAACAAATTTGCTTTCTCATGCTGTAATGCCAGACCAGTTTCAGTGGTCTCAGACTGGTCATTTGCCCGAGATGAGGTGCTGAGAAGCAGAGAAAAAACTTGCAGCAGTCTATAAAAATGCTATTTGCAAAGAGAGTTAAACCTGTTCTGCAGTGATGGTTGCTTTTCTGTTCATAGCTGTTATGTTTAAAAAGTTGCTAGGCAGCACAAAGATAAAGCACTTGGCATAATGCTTTTAGCAAATCTATGATTTTATGGTAAACCATATGGAACTGGTTCTAGTCATTGCTTTCTCTACAACTAGGTATGCTATAGAAAGGGATTGAGAATCATTGTGGTGAAGGATAAAAGCCAAGACAATAGTGAACTTTCCTGCTAAGTATGGTTTTATCATTCAGCTTTCTTTGCTGGCTCGTTGCAACAGGAACATATTTATCTGCAACCAGTAATGCAGATAAGGAAAGCAGAAGGTAGCTCTGATGAAGAAAAATTTCTTCATTAGATTAATTTAAACTTAATTATGACAATTTCATTTTGCCAGTGAAATTATTATTGCTCACTGTTATGCTATCTGTAAGATAGCAATGTAGATTAGAGTTCTTGTTAGATAATGGGTTTAATGAAACAGATTGTAAAGCAAGCGAAGGGAATAACATAACCATTTGGGGTTCATGTTCCACCTGGACCAGGCCCAGATTCTGTATGATGCCTTCAGGGCACCAGGGTATCAAAAAGCAGATAACTATTTTACCAGTGTTTGATCTCCAGATGGACTCAGCTTTGGGTAGATGCGTAGTCAGATAGAAGCAGTTGCAGGCAAAGTAGAGAAAGGATGAAAAACAGACTATTAACCCAGAGTTGCTGAGGATTTTGGAGCTGGTGACATGAAGTACAGAGTTGCCAAGTCTGAGCTCTTTGCTGTCTTCAGATTCTTGGTCATCTGGTAAGAAATGTGATATTCTGAAACTGATTTCAAGTATGAATGATGGTTAAATTCAAAACTCCCCTTTTGTGCACATGCTTCTTAAAGTGCTTGAACAGCCTAGAAAAAGTTTCATTGCAGTGCTTTAGTTTTTATTCTCTTCCATCTAAACAAACCCTTGTAGATGCAGTGTCTGTTGTCTTGTGTCACTTTATCAAAGTGTATTAACTGAATCAAACTAGAAAAATCAAGGGAAAGTCCAATTTTTCAGAATTCATTAGCAGGTGAAAAGGAAGGTGGGGGTGGGGAATCCAGCCAGCAGGTTAGAAGCTAATTAGGAGCAGTGCTAAGGGATTGCTGTTTGACTCTGAAGCTTATGGGGTAAACCTTTTTATTGGCACTATAAAAGTTTGTGTCCTGGCAAGTGTTCCAAATCCCTGGGTAACTGTGAGCCAGGTTGCTGTCAGCTGGGGTGTTCCTGACTGCAGGGATGCTAAAGCTGCTGAGAAACACTTCTTAAGTCCTGTATTTCATTTAGTCTTTAAGAGGTTTTTGGGGGGAGGGATTGGTCAGGATTGCATTGCTTCAGTAAAAGTGCTCAAACAATATATTCTAGCTCCAGCTAGAGTGCTGCACTGTTTGGAACAGTAGATGATAAAGAGCTCTTAAGATGTAAAACCATGTACAAGCAATGCAAATTGGGAAGCTTTTTGTACTTGCAACAGATAATAAAAAGAAATGGCTGGCTGTGGAAGAAATGTTCCTGATGGAGTGAAGTCTGAGCTGCAGGGATAGTTACCCCTTTATCATTTTTCTGGTGAACTTCCACCAGCAGATGTAATTTCTCCTAGTTCAGCACTGTCTCTTAACCTAATCTAGTACTAGGCTTCATAAACTTGCCATGCTGTGCAGCAGCATGTCCCTCTCTTTTGGGTGATGTATGCTTCTGACAGCATTGGATAAAGTTCTTTATTGCCAAAAGGACTGAATGCCAGCAACTAAGAATCAAGAAATAGGCAAACCTGTTGTGCATTTCCTTTACAGAAAATGTCATTTATTTATTTATTTTTTATTATCTAGAGAATGTGGAGGTTTCTTATGGGGAAAACAGGTCTTTGTGTGATGTGACTTCCGACTAACTGTAGGTTTACATCAAGAATAGACTATTACAAACCGACTGTTTGAAATCCACTGCACTTTGTTGTCCCTCTTTTGTACACTTGCTTGTAGATGCACTGCAGCCCTGATAACTTTGCCCAGTGTGCTGTCTGCACCTGCCACTACCATGCTGCTTCTGGTGATTCTGCGCATGTTCGGTTAGGTTTTAATGCTTCTGTTGTGGATTTCTCCAGAACTGAGTGCCATTCAGTTTCCACCTAGAGCATTTGCACTTTTCCAAAGATTCTCTCCAGTATCCACACTCCCACTCCTAAAATTCCTGCAGCCTCTTTGACCTATACTTCCTGCATGGGAGGTACCATAAGCATGGGGCTGTGAGAGGGTTAATGAACCCAGCAAAGTTAACAAGGATGGGCAATAAATGGTTCCAGCTGTGTATAATTAACTGTAATCCTGTGAAGTAAATGACTTTTATTGGCAAGCATGTCATAACTTCATTACAAGTCCTATTTACAGCCCTCTCACATGGAATGAGCACTTGTGGAGTCTGCGATTTAATGAGTGCTCATTTTCACCTTGTTCCAATTATTTCCCACCCACCCCTCCCTCTGTGTGGGGACTGTGGAGATGAAATACAATGGGAGTGTAATTAAGGCTGGCACAGATTCTTTTAGGAAATGTTTTTCTATTTCAGAACAATCATTTCTATTGCTTACTACTAATGATACTTTAATGCTTAAAATATATAATTTTCTTTGGTCCCTAAAGCATTATTTAAATAACAGTTATTAAAGGAGGACTCTGTGGGAAAGATTTCCCAAGGCCTGAACCCCTAATAGCTGGGCACCTGAGCTGCTGTGGCTAATGAGGCATGGTGACCTGACCACAGCAGTGTACACAAAGGGAAATTAGTATCACTTAAGAGAGGAAATTTGCAGTTTACCTTAATTACACCTGTGAGCTGTGAGGACCAGTGGAAAGCCCCTTTGCTAGCCAAAGAAAGGGCCTTTTCTCCTTGCACAGGGAATTGTGTTCTCCAGCCCTGCGCTGCCTCCTGTCATCCTACTGTTGGCTTATGTAGACATGCAGTAAAAATGAGTTGTGAATTGGGAAGTTCTT